TGAGGCCGGGCCTGTACATTGCATCCGTCTTACTGATTGTGGGTGCAATGTTCTGCAGGTGAATGCAGATTGATCATGTGACCAGTGTTGCTGCATTCACTACTTTGGTGTGCTGAGCCTTTTACAATCTGTTTTCATTATGTTTGTGGGAACACTTTGTATAAAGTTTGTTTGAACGAGAACAACCGTGATGGTACGTTACTTATGTCTGGATTTGTATTGTGATTGTAATGTCTTCCTTATATTGTACAGCGCTGCGCACACTGTTGGCGCCATATAAATCCTGTATAATAATAATGTACTTTATTTTTTAGTCTCGGACATCTGGATTCCGTCACCAAGATTCATAACGGTTCTGGTGAGTCTCTTCCTGTAAAATGCCAAAACCGTAACACACAAATGTAAGATTGTAGCCCAGGAAGTGTATGTGTGAGCCATTTCCATAAACAAGTAGCCAACCTTGGCACTCCAGCCATTCCCTGTGCCTCTGGGAGTAATGCCGGTGGTGGGAGTCTTGCAGTGCATCATGGGATTTGTAGTTCCGCAACAGCTGGCATGCCCAGGTTGCCTAGCCCTGAAGTAGGCCTTGAAATACAGTTAGATTGAACGGCAAGAGGGATGCAATTATGAGTGTGCTGTTGCCCATAGCAACCAGATTAAAGCCCAACTCCAGTATAATGTAACTACAATGCTCTCATATAGTGGTCACATGAGGAATCCAATAGCTCCCAAATGTCCCATCTTAGTTGACCCTCTTTTTTTTTTTTTATAGTCTGAAATAAAAATGCATTCTTTAACCCCTTCCCACCGTCCCTTTATGAAATGGTGGGGGGTGTTACATGAGGCTCCTGATCATGTGATCGGCTGTCACAGTGATCATGTGACTGGGAGCTTTCACTGATGGTGCAGTTACTGTGAGAGGGTGGGACAGGAAGTGGTGTAACATGCTGGTTATAAAATATAATCGCAGCACGCAGCTTTCTAGGGGTTTTATTTCAGGTGTTTTTTTGCTCCTGCAGTTTTTACAAAGAACCTGTGTGGCCAGATGTCGGCGATCAGCGGCCCGCTCCTCCAGTGGCTGGAAGATCGCTTGCAGCAGAACCACCAACGTGCCCTGGAACTAGAACAGGAAAAGGAAACTTTGATGCGGGAGTTGGAAAGTTTGAGCTGAACGTTTGTTTTTGTTTTAATAGATTTTTGTTTTGTAGTTTCTTGAATGTTGCTGTGACCGGGACTCTGTATAATGTCTTTTCCATATTACACAGAAGAGTAAATGTCCCGCCCTAGTCTCTCCTCGTCTTCTCTGATCTTAGCGATTGTCTGACACAGCGGCCGGGTTGTCGTATTATCTTCTGTTCTGGACTTAGTAATTGAACCTGTAGTCAGGGTGTGGACTGTCGCGTGTTGTGGTAACATGTATACGTGTTTGTGTTGCAGCAACCCCGCAACCCACACATGCAGCCGGTCAGTACGCTCCTGCACTACCCACCACACTGCAGCACACCAATGTGAGTATTTGGAATAAATGGAGGCAGTTTTTTTTAGTGAGTCAAGGTTGGTTGAGAGCCCATAGAGTATAAAGGTTGCTTTAATGCAATATGAAAAAACACACTTATGTCCTTGAGTATTTTTGTGTAAATGAGCTTTAAAACCGTCCCTCACTGACCTACGTAGCTGCAAGGAGCGTGCAACAATTTATGCTCAAAGGTGATAGCAGAAGTACTGAACTTGCAGCTTAGCTTCCCCTCTCCTAGCAGGCATGCAGCAGCCGAGGTCCAACCTCCCAGGAGTGTCAGATTCACCTACCACAGGCTGGCCCGAAGATAAAGTAAAACACTGAATATTTCCCCCCCCAATATACTTTATTTTTATGTTCACATCAATACAATTATATCATCCATCCAGTCTGGAAGAATATTTTCCCTGCAACAGCGATAATAGATGTACAAATATTTTCAACGAGGACGCTAAATGCAGTTCTGTCAGAGGTCACGGAGCATACGTCAGAGGTCACGGAGCATACGTCAGAGGTCCTAGTATACGGGGGTAACAAAACCGCTGGTAATAGTTCACTTTGTACATAATACAGTCTAGTTAAAAGGAGGACTCCAGGCAAGAACACCGAACGGTCATGAATAGGTCATGTGGTCACCTGTCCCCCGCTTCTCGTTATCAGCTGGTTGGCAGCAGAGGAACGTTCCTTAATGCCTATGGACTGGAGCAGGAAATGAAGGCCGTCTGGCTGGATCCACAGAAGGCCGGGGGAAACCATTTGGACAGAGCTATGCGGGAGATTGTAGGTAGCTCAGACATTCTGTTATAACGTCAATGGCTTTCTATGGAATAGGCTACACAACACAGTAGACTATCGATCGGCCACGACTGCAGATTGCCCCCAATCACAGCGCATTGGCCCCTAGTGCATGGTCTGTGTGCGTCTTACCCCATACAGGAAGTCTGATGCATGCTGTAATAGGGTTCTCTGTACAGCCAGATGCATGAGTGCCCTGCTCTTCTTCCCCGTCAAGTCCTTGCATTGGAACAAGTAGGTATTGTCAGCTGACAGGAAGTGGCAGGGAAGAAGGGGGAGTGGCAGCTTCCAATGATGGTCATGTGATCAGTGCAGAGGTCACACTTATTTGATGAAACAAAGATGGCAGGAAAACCAGTTCATACTGGTACTAGTTAAAGGGCAATACCCCCAAGTACTCCTACTGCAAAGCGATGACCTAAATAAAATGTGCCGGTCTCCGGGGTACATCACAGAGATGCCTATTGCTGATGAAGCTGATCAGATTTTTTTTGTTTTTTGTTAAACAACTTTAAAAACACTTAACGACTCATCAGCCCGGACCTGTAAACATCTGTAATCGCCAAATAAAACAGTACAAAGGTCACATCTTGGAGGCCGAGCTGGAAATGGAGTGGATGCGTTGGGAACGGGAATAAAGAAGGTGTGTCAATACACCCAAGAAACCGGGACCCACTGGGGAGAGGCACACGCAGCATCGAAAGCGCTTAATAGGTCGTTCACAGTCTGTTCCACGTCGTTATTTACCAGGACCAGGTCGAAGTACTGCGCATAGCGAGCGCGAAGGACGTCGGACTCGGAGCGAAGCTTCTGCAGTGCGTCCGACTACAAGGAAAGAAAAATACGCAAATCAGTAAAAGCAGAAAAAGCAGAAAGATCAAAGGGACCCAAAATCTCAATTCTTACATCATAGCACGCTGACCCCCAAAAACATTCCGTTCTGGTCCACATGGTCATCCCATGCACAGTGGAAGAACCCGCACAGTGGAAGAACCCATCTCGTCCCATGAGCAATGGAAGAACCTACACAGTGGAAGAACCCATCTCGTCCCATGAGCAATGGAAGAACCTACACAGTGGAAGAACCCATCTCTTCCCATGAGCAATGGAAGAACCTACACAGTGGAAGAACCCATCTCTTCCCATGAGCAATGGAAGAACCTACACAGTGAAAGAACCCATCTCGTCCCATGAGCAATGGAAGAACCTACACAGTGGAAGAACCCATCTCTTCCCATGAGCAATGGAAGAACCTACACAGTGGAAGAACCCATCTCCTCCCATGAGCAATGGAAGAACCTACACAGTGGAAGAACCCATCTCCTCCCATGAGCAATGGAAGAACCCATCTCCTTCCATGCACAGTGGAAGAACTAATCTCCTTCCATGCACAGGGAAAGAACACATCTCCTCCTATGAGCAATGGAAGAGCCCATGACTGGAAGACCTACTTAGCTCCATCAAAGCATGGAATCACAATTCCATACCATCCGGCACTATTGGATAACCTTCTCCCTCACATAGCGATACAAATGCCTCCTCTCCAACCCTGCCCTGTAATACCTCCCAGGTCTCCCCCAACCGTACACACCATTTGGCCGTTCCCCCTTAGTACCCCCCAACTCTAAATATGACTGAGCAGTCCAATAGGCATCTGAATTTGACCTTTCTGTTGAGCGCAACAACGAGAATGACGTGGCCAAAACCTCCAGCCAAAAGAACCCCCCAACTGTACCAGTCCGGCCCACCCCCTCTCTTCCCTAGGACTACAAGCCTTTCTAAGGATGCCTGTGCAGATGGAGTGTGGCTGTTACTCAGCTCTGCCAGGCCAGAGCACTAGAGTGGAAGGCCAGAAAGGATTTCCACAGAAAAAGAATATTTGAAAGCATCTACAAGTGGAAATGTGTTAAAAATGTATAACATAAGAGGGGTGCTACTACAGGCCTACAGAAAAAGGGAGTGTGTGCGGAGGGGGTCTTGATCATTCAGTTCCAACGGCTTCCAGCACAGTTGTCCCATCCAGGGCACTTTCTGGTGTCACTGATCGCAGCCATACCCATAACCTGTGGTGTCACTGATCGCAGCCATACCCATAACCTGTGGTGTCACTGATCGCAGCCATACCCATAACCTGTGGTGTCACTGATCGCAGCCATACCCATAACCTGTGGTGTCACTGACCGCAGCCATACCCATAACCTGTGGTGTCACTGATCGCAGCCATACCCATAACCTGTGGTGTCACTGATCGCAGCCATACCCATAACCTGTGGTGTCACTGATCGCAGCCATACCCATAACCTGTGGTGTCACTGATCGCAGCCATACCCATAACCTGTGGTGTCACTGATCGCAGCCATACCCATAACCTGTGGTGTCACTGATCGCAGCCATACCCATAACCTGTGGTGTCACTGATCGCAGCCATACCCATAACCTGTGGTGTCACTGATCGCAGCCATACCCATAACCTGTGGTGTCACTGATCGCAGCCATACCCATAACCTGTGGTGTCACTGATCGCAGCCATACCCATAACCTGTGGTGTCACTGATCGCAGCCATACCCATAACCTGTGGTGTCACTGATCGCAGCCATACCCATAACCTGTGGTGTCACTGATCGCAGCCATACCCATAACCTGTGGTGTCACTGATCGCAGCCATACCCATAACCTGTGGTGTCACTGATCGCAGCCATACCCATAACCTGTGGTGTCACTGATCGCAGCCATACCCATAACCTGTGGTGTCACTGATCGCAGCCATACCCATAACCTGTGGTGTCACTGATCGCAGCCATACCCATAACCTGTGATAACCTATGGTGTCGCTGATCGCAGCCATACCCATAGCCTTTGCTGTTAGTGACCATAGCCATACCCAGTCCTTGCGCTGTTCGCAACCACACCCATACCCTGTGGTGTCACTGATCGCAGCCATACCCATACCCTGTGGTGTCACTGATCGCAGCCATACCCATACCCTGTGGTGTCACTGACCCCCTAGTTTCTCTATAATGGTATATGTATATTGCATGACAGAAGCAAATTGGTTCAGCCCAGAAAGCTCCAGCTGGTACCATATATCCAGGGGTGGGGGGCGGAGCCATGTCTTCATTCACTTACCTTGTCAGTATCAGTAGGAGACACAAACACAATGAACGAAGCCAGTTCTGCTGTGCGCACCATCTTCAGAGTCTGGAGACAAAGAGAAACGACTGAATACACAAGATCCTACATGTAACGAGCCAGCGGGAACCCTACCTCAAGTGTTGTATGAAAGAACACATCCCTGGCATCCCTTTCACTATGCACGGCCACTGAGTGCTGCAAACATTTAGCTGTGCTATCAGCTGATCAGTTGCTTCATTACATTCCTATAGTGTATTCAATCAACCGATCAGCAGTTTGCACAGCTAAAGCTCTGCAGCACCCAGCGATCATTCTGAAGGGATTCCGAGGATGTGCCAATGTCTCCTTCTCTCACCTGTGGCTCTATATCCAGTACGGCCACCTTCCCTTCGTTGTGGATGTCTGTTACAGTCTGGACCTTTGTCCCGAACATGAAGCCGTTGAAGCTCCCGAACTCCAGGAATAGATTTTGGGAGATGGTTTTGCTCATGTCATCCACAGACACGAAATGATAGGCAGCCCCGTCTTCCTCTCCACGCTTAGGTGGCCGGGAGGTATCTGAGGAAGACACAAGTCCGGATACATCGGTCACTTTGTATCTCTCCCGAAGACAGCAATCAACGATGGGATCCATTCACATGGCCACAGGAACCATCGCCCCATACACCCCCCATCCCCCC